TTGGAAAAAAATGAGTGTGGCGGCCTTATGGGGTCCCAAAGTCACCTTCCACGCTCAAAAGTTTCCAGCCGCCGTGCAGTGGGGTCCAAGCCTGAGACTRTACTACTTCAGCCATAACATTCGAAGAATTTGAAGCCATGCCCTTTTGGAAAGATAGCCTTCCTTCCGAGGATTCGAAGCCATGCCCTTTCCGAAATATAATTTAATTTTCTTACTGACTGATATTGAATTTACTTCACCAAATAAATTTTCTGACAATTTGGAGAATCTGAAGCCATGCCCTTTCTGAAAGAAATTTTATTGCCAAGCAAGAACAAAAATTTGAAGCCATGCCCTTTCGGAAAGAAAGTTTCTTACCGAGCAAGAACAAATTACTTCCCGAAATAAATGTTCCAAAATAATGTTCTTACGGACCGAGAACAAAAATGTAGAGAACAAATTACTAGACAGGATAAATGTTCTGACAAGAGTGGGATTTGAACCCACGCCCTTTCGGACCAGTACCTGAAACTGGCGCCTTAGACCGCTCGGCCATCTTGTCATCATGTGAAGAACGCTTTTGACAAGAGTGGGATTTGAACCCACGCCCTTTCGGACCAGTACCTGAAACTGGCGCCTTAGACCGCTCGGCCATCTTGTCAACACATACCGCCGACCGTGGGGCTCGAACCCACGACCACAAGGTTAAGAGCCTTGCGCTCTACCAACTGAGCTAGGTCGGCGGATGCAAGGAATGCTTCAATTCTTCTATGTCAATGCTAAGTGGAACGAGCTGTGAGCCTTTTCTACTTCTTTTTCTACTTCTTCGTCTTCTTCTTTTTCTTCAACGAGCTGTGAGCCTTTTCTGCTTCTTTTTCTACTTCTTCTTCTTCTTCTTCTTTTTCTTCTCTTCTTCTTCAGGCCACCAGCACAGATTTGAATGGGGCTACTTCTTCTTCTTCTTCTTCTTCTTCTTCTTCTTCTTCTTCAGGCCACCAGCACAGATTTGAATGGGGTGCACTGGACCGTTACCTGGTCCAGCAGGCTATACCATGCCAGAACGTGGTCCAGCCTACCAGCACACAATGTTGCAGGCGGAAGTTTTCCACCTGGACACTGCAAAGGGCTCAACAAACCTTCATGCGCAGACAATCAGACAATCTGCAGCCGTGAGTTCTTCTGTATTTGCAAGCTTCAAACGACATTTCTAAGAAGGTACTCCTCCCCCACAAAGAAAAGAGGCTACTTGATGGCAGCAAGGAGGTGAAAGAGAGAACATCGGGTAGATGCTATGGAATTTTTGCCTGACCTGTATATCTCATCGCAGCCTGAAGGATGTATCAAATGCAAAACTTTTGTGTAGTTAGTGTGGGTACTCCCCAAGTCGCATCCGCAGGGGAAGCATGTTTAAAGTGCAAGTGTGAGTATGAAGTTAGACTCCAGCCGATTCCCAGCTCTGTCTGATATTACAAACTATTTGAGCTGCGGGGAAACAGTGGAGGGGCTAATGATGTCCAGGGATCAACAGCCTTTGCTTAAGTGACGTCATGCTAGCATGCTTCCATCACTGCCATCCCTTGAGAATGGAAGAACCTTGGTTCCCTTCGTCAATGTTGTCCCTTTTCTAAGTAGTGCATGTACACATTTCTAATGGTATTAAAAAAAAAAAAAAAAAGGTATAATCTCAGTGTATTGATTCTGTTTTCCAGCTCTCAAATTAGCGTACGACAATGTTCAATTATCTGCTCCCAGTTCTTTTGCATGACATACCTTGAAGGCTTGCATTATATGTTCTCCCCGCTCCTTTTTTTTGCAGAGTGCCTGCTGGTACTCAGCCACCCAGGGGGCTTGAGCCCAGTAGCAGAAGAAGCAGAAGAAGCAGAAGCAGAAGCAGAAGCAGAAGCAGAAGCAGAAGCAGAAGCAGATGCAGAAGCAGAAGCAGAAGCACAGACGGAAGCAGAAGCAGAAGCAGAAGAAGAAGGTGAAGCAGAAGCAGAAGCAGAAGAAGCAGAAGAAGCAGAAGAAGCAGAAGCAGCAGCAGAAGAAGCAGAAGAAGCAGAAGAAGCAGAAGAAGAAGCAGAAGAAGCAGCAGCAGCAGAAAAAGAAGCAGAAGAAGAAGAAGAAGAAGAAGAAGAAGAAGAAGAAGAAGAAGAAGAAGAAGAAGAAGAAGAAGGGGAAGAAGTAGAAAAGGCTCACAGCCAGCAATGTTCATGCGTGGGGGCATTCACGTGCAAGAGTGAAGACGAAGAGGTGAATGCCAGTACCTTTGTCCTGGAGTGAGAGGGTGAGGGTGAGGTGGTGTGTCACTTCATACCGGCTGGCCAGTACCTCTGTTCTGGAGTTCAGGTACTAGACCGACTGGATTTTACCAGATACCAGTATTGGCACCTTGGAGCAACCTCTAGAGTCTAGACCAAGGTGTAAGTACACTGGTCAATGTCCTGCAGTTTTAAGTTCCGGCCGGAACAAAATTTCAGGCAAGAAGTTCGTTTTCAATTTTCAGCTCCCGCCGGAACAAAAGTCCAGGCGGGTGTTTTTTTTATACATTTTCAGCTTGGCTGTCCTACTTGCACACAGCCCTACCTTTCTAAATATTTTAAGCCAAACGAGAGTACATGCGACAGGAAAATCCAATCTTGAGATTTGTCTCTTTCATCTTCTCGATGTCACCACCTGGCCTTTTCCCCTTTATTAAAGGCAAAATGGGTTCGTTACATCTTTCTACCATCCCGCCCAGGCACGTGCCAAGGCCTCCATCTTGCAACTACACACAATCTTTCCTCAGTTGTAGGAAAGCGGAAGAGTGGATGTGCCCCCTTGGGCATGCCAGGCCACACAAGACTTGAAATCAATCAAGCAGAATGATTCCAGACATTCAATCAAGGAGAATGATTGTAGAGAATTAGACCAACAACAAGGGGATTCAAAAGGCTAAGCAACCCCCGCAACTACTTCCGTCAAACTGGCTTGACCCACCAATATGGTGGACCACTGGATCCTACTTTGTCGAACCCGATTTTGCACTGACCCTGGCCTTCCCAGTGTGAACGGTCAGGCCTATCGGGTGACAGCAAAACGAAGCAACCTATGCATTAGGTTTACCAAATGGGCAAAATGTTTTTTTTTCCTTTATTTTTCTGATATTGTCTGTGAGACAGCAGAACCCACCTTAAACCATGAGTACGTTCCCCAGCCATTTTTCTCTGACGTGGCCGTTAATGCACTAAACCATGAGTAAGTTTCGCAGCCATTTTTCTCTGACGTGGCCGTCAACGCACTGCGACTTCCACGGCACGGCCTACTGGAGCTAAATGGCTGGCGGCGCCAGCCAAAGAAGAAAACTCTCCGGCTCTTTTCTTTTCGTGTGCAGGGCGTTTCTAGACTCAGCAAGGGAAGGGTCATACGTAGTGGTCTAAAAGAGTTTTTAGCAACTTTTTACTAATTGGTCAGCGCTTCTGAAAGACTTTTTACTATTTAGTAACTTTTTACTAATTGTGCTATGGTCGAACACTTCTGAGTGCTGACCAATTGCTACATGCACACGATACAGCTTGCGTTTTGGCTGAATGATACACGGTTGGGAAAAGGATCGTAACTCCTGATGGATACTATAATCTGGGGGGCTACTGGGGAAACCACCCTTACCATGAGTTGTGTATCCAACAGTACACAATGCTCCATGCACCGCCCCACCGCCTAACCTTACAAAAACACCAGACTCCGAATGGATAATTAGTAATTACTTACCTCGTGGTCACCCAGTGGCCCCAGGAGAGATCAACCGCTAAGTACGACAAGGAAGAATAATGACCAGCTACAGTGGCAGAAAGCTGAAGACATAGTCCACTATTGTACACATCGTGCAGAAGAAAGCCGCTGAAGATTTTATTTTATTTTATTTGAATCATCTGCTAGGTGTGCTAGCGGTGTGACATGAGCAGTCACCACTAGCAGCCCAGAGGATGGCTCCAGTCTATTGGTGGGGAGCTGAGCCTGCTGGAAAACGGGTCCAGTGTATCTCATTACATGAGTTATAAGAAAGGATGTCATGGTAATGTGGGTTGAGGTCTGCCTCTTCAGCCTGAAAATGGCAGTCCGATAGCTGCCCCTGACATTGCCAGCGGCCCCGAACCCTATAGCACGACCGACAACTCAGTGAGCCCTATCCACAAGAGCTTTCTCAGACAGTGGGAACATGTCCTGAAACTCTTTTCTGGGGCCCTCATGGGAATCCCGGGGTCTATCTACAACCAATCTTGAAATTTGACCGCATAGTCCTTCCTGGAGGGCACTGAAGATATAATCCGCTGCTTTGATTTTATGTAGGAAAAGGCCTACCTGCCCTGATCCTCGCTAATTCTTCACCAATACTCTTTAGTCCATGCAAATGGGACCTAGCCCCAGGACACGAATTCCACAGGAGAGTGAGCGCACTGGCTTACAGCTGCCTGTTAGGGCAGCCCGCAGCAAAGCCACAGAACACAGACTTAACAGGTGAGTACACTGTCTGTTCTGGAATCTTGATTCTGCTTGCAAAAGCAGTTCGACAGTTGGGTGGACTGCCCAGGCGATCGAGGGAGTACTCACCTGAGTGAGAGTGATGACCCGGCGGCCATAGCCACATGTACTACGAGGTCCGGTTGTCGGCTGATTTCAGTCACGTTGCCTTGTTTTGAGTGCTGGGTGTGGAATCTGGTGTTATGCATGATCATTGCGATTGGAGTTGAAGTTGAGACGGAGCATTACATCTCTTCAATTTCAGAAGAAGAAAAAAATATTATGTCCATCTGATTGCATCTGGATTGGACCTCGGGTCTGTATTTCAACAGTTCGTGGGTGTACCAACTGAGCTAGGCTCATTCGCTGGCCAACCATTTCACATCAATGCCCCTGGCAGTTTGGCCACGCTTGGCCAGCTCGCATCAATGCCCCTGGCAGTTTGGCCGGGCTTGGATTGCAAGAGGTATCGCCACACTTTCTCGCTTGTAGGATGAGCATGCCAATGACTAGAAATCTGAGGCACATTTGGCGACTATATCAGGAGGTCTCCACTACTGGAGACAGCACTTGCAGCAAGTGCTGTCTCCCATCCCAGATGAGTGGAACTCAGTTATTCATGAGAAGAGACTCAATGTAGAGGTGTCTGCTCTTATCAGCAGCACTAACACTGGCGGGGG